AATACTGTGGTTTTCTTGAATCAGCATTTTTTGAAGAACTCCTTTCAGAGTGTTTTGTCATCTGCCTTTGCAAATGAAAAAAAGAAATAGGAGCTCAGGTTTAGTAGGATAGAGCAAATTAGGTTAGTCACCTGTAGCAACTGAACCCCATGTGTTATCCATACAATTAATTAAAATATAATGCCTTTCTTAGTTATTTCATGTTCATATTAATTGATTAAAGATTCAGTAAACAAAATACACCTATATTTTTAAGGCAACTCTTTCTTCCTTATTGGCCATTTTTGCCACTTTAATCTTGACAGTTGCCATTATTTTAACTTAGGTTGCATTTTTCCAAACTGCTTAATTAGCTGAAAACATTCTAACTGGTGTAGTTGATTCCCTCAGTTCTGAGGGAAAAGCTTTCTTTGCTTCCACTGTCTTCCGAGATCAATAGATGCATATGCCAACGAGAATTAATGTTGCAGTTCATAGTCTCAATTGAAGAACATTTTCCCTTTTTTATAGGAATGGTATGATTGCTTCTCAAAAATAAAGGAATAAAAATAAAATTATAAACCCTGTAGTTTTAAAAGATATTGAAAAAATGTTTTATATAGCAGAATAATTCCAATGGGGGTATCAAGATGGAGAATAGTGACTGAGAAACAATTCTCAATGACTACGAAATTAGGAAATTAATTTTTTTTTTTTTAACTCTCAAGGACCTTTAGTTCTCTGCTTGTCCCTCATAGCTGTTTGTCTGCTTACTTACTTTTAGAAGTGATTATGTAGTACCAACCTATGCTATTTTATCCCAAATAAGATACCTTCAAGTTCTGTTGCTGATCTGGTGATACAAGTAAATGTTTTCAGTAAATGAGCAGTTTTATTTCTCTCCCTCTACCATTGTATTTCCTCTTTGCTTGACTTTTTAACAGGCCACCTGGCACGTGGTGTAAGAACAGGCTCAACATTTCCGTACAGGTGGTTAAAAGGGTATCTGGTGGGGTTGGTTTGTTTTTATCTGCTGTTGCTTTATAACCAGTGTTAACTGTGTCCCTACAGGGAGTCAGAATAAATCAAAACAACTTTTTGTTTTGTTTTTCTTTTCCCCGTGGTAGTCAGTGCTCTATAGCAGTTTTACTGAAGTTGCTGTGTGCCCACAGGGAGGTCTGCACCATTCCTGGTGATGATGCGTGAGGAGAAAAAACAACTGAGAGTTTTAGATCTGCTGGGTTTGAAAAGTTGTGAAATATCCTGTTGTTTCAAATGTGCACAACTGTTCTGAAGTATATCATTGAAAGACTATTTATGAAGCCCCCAAGAGGGCATGTTTAGTCACTTGGTGGAATAGAATAAGATAAAGCGTTCACATAAAGAATGAGTCTGGTTGACAGTACAGTCTGTCGTCATCCCCCCGATTTGAAATATTAAGAAACAGTAATATATATGTATTTTGAAAATAAGCGCTGGTAAATCATGGTTATACCTTCTGTGTAACCATCATCTTGAAGAAATTTTTACATTGAGTCCATGATTGCCACTTGGCATCTGTTTTGTGTAAGGCGTTCTGAGTTTTGGTAGTGTTGGGTGCTGACCAGAGCAGCTATGCTTTAAAGGAGATCATTGGGTTTTAATTGTCAAATGTGTAGATAAGTTTCTAGGTACCAAGCAGAAGTAATTTTATTAAGTTCAGTGTTTCCAGAATGCTTTTCTATCTAGAAAAGTAACGAGGTGTGCATACTCTTGCTAATATAGGCCTTTTGTTGTAACAGAGACTGACAAAGACACTACAAGTAGGCTTAGTGATTGGAGATGGAAAAAGTTGTTAGCTTTGGAGCTGGAGATCAGCCAAATGTTAAAACATTTTCATCCAATAAATTCATTGAACTAGGTTCTTGGTCAAAAATGACAGGTTATTTCTGTTCTAGTTTGGTTTTTTGTGTCACCGCCCAGCCCCCTGATACCTCTTTCAGAACTGAAACTTGTCAAGGATTTTACTGATCAATGAAGTGGTTTACATATGTTTTGGTGTGTAATTCACTATTTATAAAACAAGAGTAGAGCAGTTCTTTTCTCTTTAGTTTTTCCTCTGTGGGTATGACTGCTCAGAGGTTTTAATGCCAACATCAATTAGAAATGTATTATTTCAGGTCTAGCTGGCAGTTGATGTGTATACCTTCTGTGTGTCCTGCTTCAAAAAGCTATACTGAAAGTGCTGCATTAGATTCTTTGAGTAGGGCAGGAGTTTTAAGGCTGTTTTCTTCAAGTTTCTAAACTGAACTGAGGACCTGATCTGTATTTGTAACAATGGCAACATTCTAAAGGTTAAAAGATGGTGCTCCACAGGAAAAAGTCCTCCATGTTGCTGTTTCTTTAAAGTTTTTTTTTTCCTGAAAAATAGTTATGCTGCCACAAAATACAGGCATTTTTAATGTATTTCAGCTTCACGGTAATATCCTTAAAAATGAAGGTTGAATTGATAAATAATTGAACTTAAAGCCTTCCTGAGCATGGCTCTGAACAAGTAAATAACTCCTAATTCTTTCAGACAACCACATTTCTTGCTGTCATGGCTTCAGGGTATGATCATCTTACCTGACAGAAAGGGTGTTTGCCTGTTTCATTAACAGAATCAGTTAGAGAAACAGTTGAGCAATGACTCGCTTCTGAAAATGTAATTTAGGCTTCCAAGTCCTTCAGATGCTTTTTGAACTTTTTAGCAGCAAGATTGCCCATTAATCTCATGATCTGTGGATCATTGTAAATCTCAGGGATATACGTGCTTGTCTCCAAGGAGTTCTTTCACATTTAACCCTGTATGCAACAGTAATGCCCCCACCTACCCTACTGTCCTTGCATTTTCTTGATGTTCCAGAATTTATCAGCTGAAATTGTAGAATTATCAGTCAGAGGATCATATTCTCATAAAAGAGTCGTATGTCTGGATTTTACTGATGTAAGATCATCTCAGTCATCTGACTATAATTCCCATCTGTGCATCTTTTCATGTTCTTACCGAGATATTTAGAAAGCCAAGAAAAATTATGTGACTAGCCTAGCAGCTGAATCATTGTATTTTATGTTGAATATCAATGCTGGCACAGGAAATGCAAGATACTAACTCAGGTCTTTCTGAATGATTGAAGGAGGAAGAGGATTTGTAAACAGTTTGCAACCTAATCATGGGATCTTTATCCCGACATTTCTGTAATTTAATAATTCTAGATCAGGTTGGGGTTTGGGGTTTTGGGGGATTTTCTGTTTGTTTTTGTTTTCAAGAACATTGCCTTTATGTCAGTTAGACATTTTGCAGAAATTGTCATGCTGTCTCCATTTTCATGTCTTGTAATTATTATTTCATAATATCCCATATATGTTAATACTTATGAATTATGTTATGCATACATATTTTTAAAAACAAGGCATGAACAGTCTGTAGTAATTAAAGTATAAACTGGAATTGTTTTAGTTGCTGAGACATTAAAAAAAAGGAGCCATAATAAACTCGTTAACATCAGGTTTTATTTTTTTAATAGGACTAAGTGTTACATTTTCAGTGTATGGTGATGCCCCATATCCTGGTAACACTGCAGTCCAGCAGCCAAAATTTATCAGTGTTTTCATTTGGCATTGACATCCAAAAGGCAAGCCCCATTTCATTTAATCTTTGACAAATAAAAAGAAATTTTAATATTTTTTCCTCTTTTTTTTCCCTGTAGGATTGAAATGAATAAACAATGCCCTTTTTAAAGCATGACTCACTCGAAAGTGCACCTTAAATGAGGAATTGTTCATTTAATTGAAGTGATTCCTTTGCCAGGCTTTGTATTGATGTGTACAAATTAATCTTTTTTTTATGCACAGTACAAGACTTGTTATCAAATAGTACTGTTTTCCTCAAGATAAAAATCTTCATTTTGTAACCAATTTGCACAGAATGTTTTCTAATAATGTCTTGTGCTTGTTCTTTTGTAACTGCATTTTGTATTTCCAGTGCATTAAATTTGTATGTGTGGTTTATACAGAAGAAGCACTCAAAAAAAGGGCAGGAGGAAAATAGGACTAAGAATAGTTTTTAAAGTCATATGCAGAGCACTTGAAGGAAAAAAGAACAAAGGCACATCAGGGTAAAAGTAGTAGGAGGGTATTTCATTTTACTCATCTCCTAGAAAGCCTACATTAATGAGAATGAGCCAAAAAAACCCCAAAACACCACCACCAAGCCCCCACCCCCAAAAAAAAGCCCTCCACCCACCCAACAAGACAAAGTGCTGGTACAAGCTACACACACTTGTTATCTTTCATTATTAATACTGTATGAAGAGATTCCAAGTAAAGTAAAATATAGCAATATAAGAGAGAATTATAAATGTAACCGAAAAATCTCAAGCACTTTATAATTTGCATGAATAGAAATTTAACATTTAAACCAATTGATTTCAAGGAGAGCATTAAACAGAGATCAGGAGGATACATAGCAAAATTTGTGGAAGGGTTTCTGATGCATAATGTTTACACTTAAAAATTTGTTTCCTATCTAAAAGCATAAAACCACAGTCACAGTTGTAGAATGACATCTTTTGAAGATGGTTACCTAGTGAGTGGGGTGAAAAATGTCAATCTTAATGACAGCATGTACCCGCTAGAACAAGTGGTTTCTTTACTGACAGCTTCTTGCTTGTCTTCTTAAAGGTACAATGTCAAACTTGGTTTATTGTTTACTCTGTATTTCTTTCTTTTTTCTTTTCCCTGCCTGATGGGACTTTGAATTGATACCAAATAATTTCTTCAACTGGTTTCATACCAGTAGCCTACTTTGGGATTGTTTGGGCTTTCAGCGCACTGAAGGGATGTTGCTATTTTCTGAAAAGCATTCAAATTGATATTATAGTAAAAGATTATTACTAAAGCTGATATTGGTGCTTGATTATTTGACCAGTTTTTCATGTAAGTGACATAAACAATTAAGTTACTGCAAAACTGTAATTTGAGTTAATTGTGTTTTCAGGTCCCTGAACAAAATGAATTTCATTACAAGGCTTTCTGCTTTATGTCTGAGGAAAAGCAAGATGCAACAGAGGCACCGAAGTAGTAGACGACCAGCCGTTCCACTTGGATCACGGATTTTAACTGATTCTTCTAAGGTTTTTGAGCATAACATGTGGTGAGTTGTTTCTTCCAGGCTGATTTTCATCTATAATTTACTATGCTGAATAGTGGTATGTGTGTATATATATAACAATGGATTGCCAGAAGAGATGTGTAAAGGTAGTGCTAGAGAAAATTTGAGATTATCACAAGTCACCTGACAGTTATGAGTTCTCTGTGACTTACATAAAAAGCTACTGAGCAAGTTAAACATGGAACGAAAGGCAAAGTGTTGTTCTAGATCAGTAATGAATTAGGAGACAGTGTAGAGTTAAGGTGGTCCATGTTACTCATAATGGTAGAAGGTTACTAGTTAGGTACAATAACGTTGCATACTGGATTAGTGCTGCATTCTAAAATCGACTCCATTTTGAAGGGAACATGTAAATTACTTGTAGTCTACTAAAGGTGTACCGAAGACGTTACAGATAGCTCATCAGAGATTTCCATACAGTGCACAATTGTCAAAAAAAGTAAATTGAATCTTAACATAAATAAGAGATACAATATCAGAGGAAACATCAACACGTAAATGTTAACACGAATAAGAATTGCCCTGGTTTGCAGCAGTACATGTCCATCTCTGAAAGATATTTTTATGATTCACGGGGTCTCAGCAAAGAGTGAGAATGCTTGTTAACACAGTGGGAAAACTGAGATTGAAAAGGCTAGGATTTTTGACCATGCAGCAGAGACGAATACAAACAGTAAGTGACACAGGAAGTGGTAGAAAGATAGATTTAGATATTCCGTCTAGAAAGTAGAAGACTATCTACCTGAGATATTTGGAAGAACTTTTTTCCTATAGTTCCTAACTTAAAAATAGAAATATTTGATGAAAAGTAGGGAATTTAAAAGCTATACAAGAAATTATTTTCTGCATAATTCCTAAAGATTTTTTTAATTCACATACTACTTGAGAGCAGGGGTTTATCAAAATTGGGAAAGGAAGTGGATGTGGCCAATGATAACCAAGGGTGACATAATATAGGAGTTATGTTTCTGCGTTTCAACTTACTTCATAAAAGTAATCTGCAGTTTTTATACCTTCTTCAGAGGTGTCCCCTGCTGGCAACTGTCAGAGAAGTTCTTGGACAAGATTTTGTTCTGAAATGAAGCTTCCAACTTTCTGGGTGGTGTTTGGGGTTTTTTTTGGTTTTGGGTTGGTTTTTTTTTTTTAATTATTCTTTTTCGTAGTTAATCCTATTTATTAATTGGTCCATTTTACTTTTTAATCTAAATTATCTCAAAAGTTTCTCTAATAAAAATCTGATGAATAAAAAGGTCTTAAGGGAAGAATATGACACAGAAGATTGTCTTCTGGTTAATCAAATATCTTCATTAGTCTCTAAATTTGGGCTTAACTCATGAGGTAAGATATGCAACTAGATCAGTCACCTATTACTGTTTTCTAAACCAGATGTCCCCAAGCCATGATCCCCAACACATACCACCTTAAGGCCAAGCCTGGAGTTATGTACACTTCTGTACCAAGCTCCTTGGTGAAGGAAGCCGGAAGCTGGCTGGTTATTGTTTTAAAAGAGTGTGAAATTTATGTCTGTGTTTTATAAATCTGCGTGCAGTGTAATTCTTAAGCATCTTCCAGACTCCTGCTAGGTGGAAAAGTCCTGTACTTGTGTGAACGCTGGTTCAAATGTAGGCTATCCAGTCAAGGTAGGAAATAACTTTAAGAAAAAGGCCACCCTTTTTCTGTAACACTGTACCAGGGTGAAACTCAGTTCTGTTTCTGTTTTTAATGTCCTTACAAATAACTGATCATGTGTGGCTTCAGTTTTAATGGCTAGTGTTCAGTGACAGTCTAATACAGACTTATCAAACAGTGACAGAGGAGGTTGGGATGGATTGTGAAGCTGGGATTGAAAGGGACAGGTTTGTTCAGAATGCAGATCTGCAGATGAATCCTTGTAGCTTGGAAGGGAAAACAGGTGAAACTGAGTTGGACCAGAAGTTGCATGGAAGCTGACAAGGTCTTGATAAATCAAGAACCTGGCTATGAAGTGCAGGGAGGTCCTTGGATCTGAAGCTCACTGAATCAGCAGGGTTGTCAGTAGGGAGGTAAGGGGGATCAGGATGAGTGGTGGTTGAGCTAAACAGATCGTGCAGGGTGAGCATGAGAGATTCATCTTGCCTAGCATTGATGTGTGACGATTTATGTCCTTTTGTTTTCCACTCATCAGCTTTGGTACTTCATAAAGTGGCATCCTTCTTTTTTGCCTGTGTGTGAATTGGCAGAGAGCCAAGAGCTGCTACCATTGCTGCTAGGAATACTAAGCAAATTAAATTTAGGAACTAATACTTTAGATATTTGCTGCGGTGCTTTTCTGTCATTTCGAGAGAGAAGTGATGAATGGTGCTAAACATGGGAGCAAAAAATGTCTGCTTCTATTCAAGTTAGTAATTGGCATAGTTTTCACGTTAGTTTTCAGAGATAATGAAACCCTATGTTAGCAAACAAGTTAATGGAGAAGGGCTAGGTTGAATAAGCTGAACCGAAAGTAGCATTGCTTGATCTCTTGTCAGGCCTACTCATGTTAACAGTTCCTGCTATGGTTAAAATGGATAGCTTGCTTTGCTGCTGTCAGTGTTCAGCTTAAAACACTTCTGTATTTAAATACTTCTGTGCTTAGAATTCTTCTGTGTTCCTGCCAGCTTGTATTGGTGAAGGAGCTGCCTCATGTGAAGCATCCAAACTATGTAAATAGTTTGCATAAGAACTATGCTATGTCCCCTCTTTTGCAGATTTTGATCAAGAAGTGCTGCTGCAGTCCAGTTTGGGGTCTTCTGCATAGAAATTTCTAGGAAAGATCTAAAAGATCTTTCTTCAGCTTCATGGTTTTCCAAGTAGGGACAAAAGGGGAAAAAAGTTGTTGATGAAAATGGAATACTTCAGGCCCCTATAGTATTGTGTCTAGAGCCCTTAAAGGCCCTGACAGACACATGATGATGGATTAAAATTGATCAGCTAAAGTTTATACCACAGCAAATCATGTCAGAAGGCCTGACTGTGTATTATTGCCATCTGAAGAGTCCTTGGTTTCAGCTTGCTAGCATTGGCAAGGTCAAAAATGGTGATAGCGGTGAAGGAAGCAAATCTTTCCAAGGGGGTGGCTGCCTAGTAGTACTTTGGTCGTTCAGTTTTATTCTACAACGGCCTGTCTGTCAGAGCCTTGACACTGCACAGGAACATTTGGTATAGGAACAAATACAGGAAGGGGAGAGGCAACCTGCTGGGGACAATAATGAGAAATATTTCAGTAGGGATGTGGAAATCAAGTCTGAGGCAAGCAGACAAATACATACCAATTAGTCTTCCACAATTAACAAAAGAGGATCAGGGAAGGTCTAAGAATTAAGTTACCTGTATGTCACCAAGCATGGAACAGGAAGGTGCTCGTTAGCTTTTAGAGACGATCAACTATTTTCAAGTTGGCACCTTGTTCCTTTTCCCATAGTAACCAATGGAATTTTAGTCATAGGCTTTCAGCTAATTGATTTCAATAGGATTCGGATCTTATAGATTACTTAGATTAAATTAGATAATATAATTCGATTTCTAAAACTGTTCAGGATGGAGAATTTGGATGTGCTTTTAGAAGCTGCTAGCAGCACATTTTTGGCCACTCCCCACTGTGGCCTGATCCAAACACAGAATCTGCAGGGGAGGCAGTTTAGTCATCAGGGTCAGATCTTGTCTTGGTTCTGTGACTATTTAATGGATTAATACCACGTTTAGTGAACCACTTTACACAAATATAGAGAGAGCATAGACTCTGGAACCATTGCAGCACTGCTTGTCTGGCTTAGGAATGTCTCATTCTTCTTTTTTCTAAATGTTTCCTGTCTGTATTCCCCAAATAAGTAAAATCCTGTCCATAAATTCTAGCTGTTCCACTTGAATAGGTGGATTATGTTCCCTGTTTCAGGAACAGCTGATTGCTTTCCTTATCATAAACATTAGTAGGGTTGGAAGTTTCTTGAATCAGAGTGTCTGTTGTTATATCCAGCTAAACACAACTCTAAGGGGACACTCAAAATACATCCCTGTAAATGCACTCAATTTACAAGATATGTGTTAATCCGATTATTTAGGAAAAAAATGCATACTATTACAGCCTCTTTGCAGTTGGAAGATTTTTCTTAATCACTTGAGTTTTACCTAACTAGTAATTAATTTTTATCTATCATACACTGAAACTTAGTTTTTAACTGTCAGTCTCCTTGTGGTCATTTGCTTGCATTCAAAAAGAAAATGTATTTAAGACAGTGTAGCTAATGTTACTGTTTTCTCTGGGAAAAAAATATTTTGGAAAATCCTATTTAAAGGCTGGTTCTTCAACTGCCTTTTGCAGGGACCACATGCAGTGGTCACAAGAAGAGGAGGAGAATGCCAAGCAAAAAGCGTTAGAGAACTCACTTGTGAAAGTCCAGTGGGAAGACCAAGGTAACAAATTCGTAGTGGCTTAAAAATTCATATTTTAATGCTATTTATGAAAGCATTTAAAGATGCTTTAAAATCCAGAAGCACTCTTTTTATTTCTATATTCTATTGTCTGAATTTGTTGGTGGTTTTCTTTTTTCCCTCTGTTGCCCCAAAGGATTGTCTCAAAGCATGTTTTTGTAGCATCTCAGTTACTTATTTGAGCAATTTTGCATTTGGTGGGGCAGTATGTGCTTGATTTACATAGAGCCTCAGCATGGTGCGTTTGCAAGTTCTGTCTCCTTTTGTAGCTCTTCAGAACAAAACTGCTACTACACAGGAATGTTACTTCATCAAAGGCAGCAAATTTGCAGCCAGCTAGGGTGCTGGGGATGAAAGTTCCCATGTACAATATTAAAATGCTTTGTAAAGATTTGTGGACTGTTCAGAGAGCTGGTGTTTGTACATTGCACCATAATTTAGTTAAGCGCCATGGAAGTTGCACTGGTCCCAGCTGGTCCCAACTTGCTGCCCTGGCCAGGCTGAGCTGGGAGTGCTTCAGGAAGCCGTGTGTTACCTCTGTGTGGAAGATGTTCCAATACACCATGCAGAGTCTGCTCTGTAAATGATTAAGGAATTCCGTGCCTGTCTTCAGAAGGGAAACATAGTGTGTGTTCTGCAGTTCGGAAGAATGACAGCTCTAGGTTCAGACTGGCAAACCAACCCCTAGACTAAACTCTAGGACAGTTTATGTATGCTAGAGCTGGACTATCAAGTAGATAGTAACATAGAAGACTGAATTCTTAATTTGTTCCTTTATTAGAAAGATATTCTGAAAACAATTACTTGGATGACCTGGGCCTCAGTTTCCTCAGCATGTCTTGAGCCTGTCAAATCAGATAGCATCATTATGATCCTGTGCTCATTTTCACTGATGTCACTAGGGCACATGTTGGAGTTTATTTGAATTACCTATGAATGTGTCTCAGACTGTGTGCCCTTCATCACTTTGAATGCTCTGGGGTTGTCATCCTGCCCTTTACTGTTACCTCTTGCATTCTTTATCTAAATACAGGAGTACAATGTTTGTTTTTAAAAAGTGACGTGTAATATTTTCATTTGGTTTGTATAAGAAGTTGAAAAACAGCTCATCATTGCAAAGGGAGCTGTGTAACCATGTGGCTTGTGGAACCTTTAATTCTTTATCTACAGTCAATTAGAACTCACTTTATGCTGGTGAGAAATTAAATAATCAGGCATTTGTCTATTGCCAAAAAACTACAAGAATCCAAGGACATTTCCTATGAATGCCCCTCTGTTTAGAACTTGCATAGGTGAGCATTGCTGACTGCGTTCTTTCAGAAAGCTTCAGGTTCGTTCTGCAAGTGGAAGTATGTTTTGGCCTATTTGTGTAAACAATGAACTGGACTGAAGTTAATGAGCAGGTTATTTTTGGGCCTTGGAAACTACAGTGAAGGGAAAAAGACAAGGCAGATTCAAGAATACTATTATATAACTGCAATAGAACAGTTCTGGTGAACCTCATTACAACCAGAGAAGTTAAACTGAATAAATTCTTGATACTACCTTTAAGAATCCACTTTACTTATTAGCATGTCCAGTTTCTTCTCAGGCATGTGTGCCAGTGTTGAAAGTTCTGAGAAGGAGAAAATCAATTGACTAAGAAAGGGATAATTTTTTTTTTGTCTCAGAAGGTTATACCTTTGTTAGTTTTGTCATTTTTACATGCTTTGGAAAATGTAGTTGTCAGGCTACTTAAATATACAAAATTAAACCAAAAAAATGGATAAAAATACTGTATGCATGGCTATTACACAGTGGTGCAGGAGTGACCAGTGAAAGAATGAAAAGTAAAGTGTTCTTGAACCTTTGTAATTCCATACTAATACAGCTTCAAAGGCCACCTTTAGCCATTGTTTTCCTTCAGTTCTGGAATCTGGAAAATAACGTGATGGGAACTTACGTACAAGGGTTCTGAGCAGACTTGTAGAAAAGTAGTGACTATAACAAAGGGTGATAGTGATTTAAGAACCTTTTGAGTAGAAGGTTTGTTTTTTATATTCAAGCTGAGCAATCTATGAATGTGTAATTTACTAGTGAAATCTGGTCTATATTACTTCAGTCAACACTGCACTTACATTGTAAAACAAGTCTGTACAACTACTTTTCATGGCTGGGTCTTATCCTTTAATAATACAATTGGATGTATTAAATGTTAAATTAAAAAAATTATCCAGATTTCTAGGACAAGGCATTCTGCCACCTCCTTGCCACTTCCCACTGCCTGTCTGTGCCTCTAATGATAATTCTTAGCCTTGTTTATATCTGAAAAGCTGTAGCGATTTAGGAAATAGTGTGTTAAGATTTAAATGAGAGTAGTAGGAGAAATGCACCGCATATTCACTCTGTGCATTTATATTTAAAGAATTAATGGGTCAGTGTGAATGAGTAGGGACAAAATAAAATAGGCAACACGTTACAGGTTGTACACTTAGCAAGAGATGTTAAGGGTAACGAAAGAAAAACAGTTCTGTAAATGCTTTAGGAATGAGGGGAAAAACCCCCAAGAAAAAGATTTAGTTTGGTACTTGGGAGGGATGAGGAAGGGAAAATCATCAACAAAAGAGACACTTAAAAAGCTGTAATTCTTATCTTTTTATCAGCCTTCCTTTGAAATGGTTAGCTGCAGTCCAGTGGCTAGCACAATTAGTGCTAGGGAGAAGGAGGAAAGATCTTGTTCTCTACTGAGAAAGAACAGGTTACAAAGTACATCCATAGAGTACATGGATGACTGGGAAAGCAGAAAAGAGAATATTTACTTTTTTAAAAAGGGAGGTGGGAAAAGAGAAGAGTCAGATAATTAGTTTCATTTCCTGGAAAAATACTGGAAGAGATAATCCAGAGCTTGCAGATACTGGGTTTGGAAGAACAAAGGAGATGAATACTGGCCAACAAATATTTTTCAATAATAAATCAAGCTAATTTCCTTCTTGGAGAAGGTTACAAGCCCTGGGGATAAGGGAAAAAAAAAGCAGACGTCCTGAAATTTCTCCTTAGTCAGGCTTCTGACTTGCTTTACTTGACATTTTCATAAGCAAGTTAGGCAAGCAAGAGCTAATGAAACTGCTTTTGTGTGAATGAAGGCATAGAGATACCCTTTCAGAATGGAAGGCTGTGCTGGGCAGAGAAGCATGTTGTTCCATGTCCAGTTCTGCTTGGTATTTTCACCAGTGACCTGAGGAAATGGGAGACTTGAGGATGATACTGGGTGAAGAGAGGTTTCAAGTATAGTGAAGGACAGAAAGATCTGGACAAACAGTGGAAAAAAGATATCTGAATGATATAAATTTGCTAAAAATAAATGCAGAATACTTTGCTTAGGAATAATTCCTTGAAAAAAGCACTAGGGTCTGGAACAATTGGCTAGGTAGTAATTTTGCAGAAGAAGATCTGAGGGTTGTGGTGAATCACTAGCTGAATCAGCCGTGTCATGCTGTTGCAAAATGGCAAGCTGGGAGTTATAAACAGGATTACAGCTTGTAAGCCTTGTAAAATATTCCTTTTGCTCTGTGTTGATAATACTTTTACCAGAATACAGCACAAAAAAGGAGTAAAGCAATTTGAGACAATCTAGGGGAAAAAAAAAAAAGAAAAAGAAAATTATAAAAAGTCTAAAAATCATGACTTCTGTGGAAAAAAAGAGTTAGGTTTAGATAATCTAGAGAAGAGATTGCTTAGGGGAGACACAGTAAAAGACTTTAAATAAGTAAATAGGTGTTGCAAAGAAAATAGGTGTTGCAAAGAGAAGTGAGTAATCTTTGCTTTATCTGCTTGGTTAATGGGCCAAGGATTACTGGATTTAAATTGCAATAAGGAAATTTCAGGTTAGGTAGTGGAAAAAGTTTCTAACTGTACCGTTGGTGAAGGACTGTAATACATTACTGAAGAAAGTTGTCAGGCTTCTATGAAAGGTGCTATGTAAAGAAAAAGTTGGACAAATTTCTGTGGAGAAGGGGTATGAATTCCCTGACTCTATGAAATCCCATCCTAGTCTTTGACATTCTAATATTCAGTTAGAATGTTTCATGAATTAAAAGTTAACACAAAAGTCTATTGTAAGGCTCTCTGAAGTGTTTTGAAAGTAAGCCAGTATGTTGCTTCCGACTATATTGTTATTTTCTGTCAGCACTGTGTTGTTGAATAGTTAAGAGTGAATTACTATTGGCTGTGCAGTAGCATTTATCACTCCAGTTCACAGAACTGGATTTCTAGTTGATGGGGTTTTTGAGAGATGACTAGGTACCAATAGATTTACAATTGCTCATGGAGTTTCATAAATGATGAAATTAATTTCAGTGTAGTATTTCTTAAATAGGAAGAACATGGAGAACATTTAATTGATAAGATGCATTGCTTTTATGATTTGAGACATGAAAACTTGTCAAAGAAAATTACGATTGCATATCTTGGTGATGCTGTTCTATTATGTCACTGAATTCCAAAAAAAAAAAATCTTTTTTAAACAGATTTATAAACTGTAAATTTGTGGTCTAAGTTCAATGTTGCATTACAGTATTTTGTATCTAAGCTCATATTCACCAAGGTGGTGGTTGTTTTTTTTTGTTAATTTCAGATAAATACGAGAGAGAAGCCAGTAAATACTGGAATGAATTTTACAAGACTCATAAAAATAACTTTTTCAAGGATCGCAATTGGCTGTTTCTGGAGTTTCCAGAAATTCTTCCAGAAACAAGGAGGGAAGAGTTGAAAATAGAAGAAAGATCTTCAGAACACACAAAATTAAACAGTACCAACATTTTTTTGCACAAAAATGAAATGTTTCAGGAAGAAGAAAAATATTGGAAGAAAAATTATGGAAGTGGTTCTACTTCTGTACAAGGATATGTATATAATAAAAACCAAGCAAAATGTCTTACTGACAATCCTGTGGGTAAAAACTGTGGAGAAGAACTGGGCCAGCTAGAATCCTTCCCTGGTAGTGATGCCACTCACAGAATATTAGAGGTAATGCACTGCAAATGTTCTGCCCATCATACAGAACTCCACTTAATTGCTCAAAACCTGATAAAGACACTTAGTAAGTGTCAAGAAAGTAAGCACTGAGAATTTGACTTACTGCATTCATTTATGGCAGAAACTTTCAGAGAAACCTAGGATCTGGGCTTTGTTTTCCCTATAAAGCTTCTCCCAAATCAGAATTTAGGGATAGATTGTCAGATTCCATTTTTGGCAGAAGCAGAGTTTCTAATTTCCTAAGGAAAGTTAGGTCTTAACGTGCTCTGTCTTAAAGTGCAAGTACTTGGTGCATTCTTGCCAAATGGTGAAATTGGACGAGAGTATTGCATTTTCCAATGCAGTTGGAGAGGTGGATTCTCCCTTAACTTCAGAAAGGCATTGGGGAGAAATGTGATCATAGAAGTGATTTGAGAATTGAGGTATGAGCTGTTTATACCTTTTCTGCTCAACATACCCTCAAATTTAGTGAGTCCTACTTACCAACTAATTTAAGACAAAAATAAAATAATATGAGGTTTTAATAGCTCATTTATTTAAACTTTTTGTTTCTCTTCTGATTTTAGGTTGGTTGTGGTGCTGGAAACAGTGTCTTTCCTATTTTGAAAGTTCTGTGGTATGTAGTGCTGGATTTTCAAATGTGAAAGTTCTTTTATCATCATCTTCATTTTCTTCAAATATTGGTGCTAGACCATTGTTGTAGGAAGTGTTGAGTGGACTGTTACACAGCCCTGAAATTCTGATTGCTTGCAGTCCACAGATAATGGTTGGTAGCATCATAGAATCGTAGAACGGTTTGGGTTGGAAGGAACCTTAAAGATTATGTAGTTCCAACCCATGTCCAGCCATGGACAGCAACACTTTCCACTAGGTCAGCTTGCTCAAAGACCCATCCAACTGGGTATATTTGTGTTATACAAAAATACTCTGTTTTGCAGATATGGAAACAGAGAGCAGGAGGAATTGAGTGATGCACCAGGGTCACACATGGAACCTGTTGGTGTTAGCAAGGCACCTTCATCCCATAATATATGCTTAGCTTTAGACAGCATGTAATGAAAGGGGGACCCTGTTTCATATGAAAAGTTTGGAAAGTGATACTATATATGGAAAAGATGTCATGCGGCAGTACTAAAAAAGAGACAAACCTTTGTGTTTTTCTCACAGGAGGCATTAGTTATACATTGGTATTTCTGATAATTAAGAATCCACTTATTAGGTATTTTTCCTGGACTTCTCTATTCTTATGCAAATCCTTCAGTCAATCACATTAGTTGGTACATGGAACAGCTCGCACGTTTGTCTTGTACGTGACCTGATGGAAACCGCTCATCTCTTAGTATGCCTGGCTTTAGAGCACAGTTGGTTTTACTCTGAATTTAATAGCACAAATTTGTCTTTTGTATGCATATAGAAGCAAACCCATACATACACAAGTATGTGTGTACCCTGGCTACAAAAAAAATTTCCACTTGTTTTTTTCATAACTTTTAAACTGCTTCCCCCGTCCCCCTTAAAATTTAAGTTACTGCTTTTTAATACAGTGCATCATGAAATCAACATCCAGATCAAACTGTATCTTTGTTTTGACTATCTACATGGTTCCTATTCTGCTCTAAAAAAATTGAAATATCCTAACAAGTCAATTAGGTAATCAGCTTAACCTTTGACAAGGGACTGGCTGGGTCCAAAGCCTGGCTGCCTGCCTTCATCCATGATAAACACCTAAACTCACCAACTCTCATGGTGGGCACTGAGCAGATAAAGATTTTGGTCAGCAACAAGAATGGAATATATTTTGATCCACAAGGGTTCTCCTGTTGAGCCCTCAGAGAGGTCACTGCCTCAGCTGTGTATACTGTGAGATCTTATAGGCACTGCCAGAGTTTGATTCCGTCTCTAAATAAACTGTCCCTCCAAAACTTCAAATGTTTTTAAGGATAATAATTGATCATGAGTTGACCATGAGGTCATCCCTCAGTAGGTTTTGAAGGGCTTGCTCAGTTTCCTTTAAATGAAGTTTTCGGAGGTGAAAAAAATTTCTCTCTGGAGTTACTAGTGTCCGATGAATGGCATGAGGAAATTTGCAGCTGGCTTAGTCTTGGATGGGAAAGGAAGGGAAAACAGTGCTACAGGAAATTCTTATTCATCTTGACTTAGAAAACAAAGGGGATAATAGAGGGAAACAACCAATACTGCTAAATCTAATCAAAAGCACAGTGAGGTGGCACATGGGAACCCAGACCTCTGCAGAACTGTGGATGATTTCTGCAACACCTCACCCCTGCCCAAATCATATTGCTAATTAAATTGCATACATGGGCTAATGATAGAGACTTAATGCAGTACTTCCGTAAGAAAATGTGACCTATTAATGTGCATTTATGTAATACAACACCAGGACATTGTCATCAATCCTGACAGCCCTCTGTGACCTTCTTTCTTTTCCTTTTCACTTCCTCCCTGACAAGGGTATAATTCTCCTTTTGATACCAGCTGCCTGTTGGTGTTCTTACGAATTTGTCTGCCCGGTTGGTTCATTACATCCTATGTGGCCTTCCATGTGCTAGACATCAATAAGGCATGCTTGATCAAACCTGTGGAGAACCCCAACGGGCCTTCTGTAGTTCCATGAACACTGATGTAGACTTTCATTTTTTACAGTAATAATTTTTTAACTGATGTTGGGTTTGTTTTCCTAGCAATACACCTGGAACCTTTCTCTACTGTTGTGATTTTGCTTCAGGAGCAGTGGAGCTGGTAAAGGTAATTCATACGCTCGCTTTAGAGTACCTTATAAGCATGTAATTCAGGAGGCTGCCAGGAAGCCGTCTTCATGAAAAAGAATGTGATGGCTTTGACAACTTTTAACTGAAGTTTTCAATATTCCAAAGAACAAAGTCTTATTCTGTGCAGAGAGGAATGAATACCATCAGTGAGCTTGCTTCTCAGCTTGAGTAAGATACCAGACAGAATAGGCTTTTATATGAGATGTTTTACAATGCTGAATAATTGAAGAAAAAAGTTTCTTGAGTCACAGTAAACGTATTAACTACTACTGTTCTCTCTGTGCCTCTTTTCATCTTTTTCCTGACAGTCACATTCGTCCTACAATTCTGCCTGGTGTTCTGCCTTTGTTCATGATGTGTGTGATGATGCTTTATCCTATCCTTTTCCAGATGAGATCCTGGATGTCATTCTCCTTGTCTTTGTGCTCTCTGCTATTCATCCTGACAGGTAAATGAAGACTAAAGGGCAAAGCAAATGGGTTAAATCTCTTTTATCGCTGGAGGTTTTCAAGAATAGCAAAAGAAGATGATTAATCTTTAATTTATTATTTAGTAATCTACAATATATATAAACCAAGGTATTTTAAATGCTGTTTCCCATTTTCAGGTTTCAAGAGAAAAGCTGATCAGGCTAATTCATTAGTGAGCTTCCAGTTGCCATCAAAATACAAGGGATATATTGTAACTAAATACATTCCTATTAAAAGTGACAGTGATTCAAGAAAATTAAAAACTAAAAAACCAGACCATCAGTCTTCTCTAGAAGGAAAGTTTTTTGTTTTGGTTTGGTTTTTTGTGATCAGAACCAAACATTCATGCTTTAACACCTTACAATGTGTTGGTGAAGACTTAGGTTGCTGATTTAGCCACAGGCACATGCTTAGATGCAGGCCTTTTAAACCAAAACGTATTCTGAATTTTCTAACTTGTTTGGATTAAGAAAACTTGATCCAATTTGCATGCACAGTGTCATGTTGAGTACTGTTAGCCTTGTTACTAATGCCTCTCAGTGTCTAATGAACCAAACTTTGATTGTTAAGGCTGTCTGAGTGTGAAAATACCTTTTTTAATGGAAAAAATGCAAAAGAGGACATGTAAGTTAAAATTCTTGACTCTGCCTTTAACTAGATCATGTGAGGGGAAATACATGCTGTATGTATGGTAATACATTTACTACTTTAAGAATGTCATTATAATGGGCTTGGCAAACAGAACAGTATTTGCCTAAGTCTGAGAACTGTTTCCCTGGCTAAGTTATTAGTGATTAGCTTTACAGAAAAATCTCTCACATATAGGATATTGCTCCTTCCTGTTTGTTCAGAGATGAGCACATGAGTCATACAAAGCCTGGGTCCAGATTTCAAAAACAATTCAAGCAGTAGATTTTAGATCTCTAACTGTGGTGATGCTGCCAGGAAGAAATTGGACAATAGAGACGCATTCATTCAATTGCTTTGCCTGTAGAAGCAGTAATCAGATGTTCTGTCAGAATTTCTGTGGATCTTTTCCTATTAGTCATTTAAGAATGTGTTTGTCTTCTTTTTCTTTCGTTTTTTTCTCCCCATGTCAGCATCTAAAGGCTCACATGGATACTTTTGTGTGTATGTATACACACAATGATTTCCGTGTATAATTATCTGTGGTGTAAGACCCACTTTCCAAAGATTTGTTAGTCATTACTGTCATCTCATTGAAATAAAATGACTGCATCAAGGCAAATGTAATCCAGATTCATCTTGCTCAGTATACATTTTTTCTGGAAACTTTGTAAGTGGGAGATGAAAAAAGAAACCAAGAGAATTAATGATGCAGAATTTAAGAAGGCCCTTCTAATAGTTGGTTGCAGGATTTGAAAGGTATTAAACTTTCTTCAAGCCATACAGTTAATGTGCTTTAGTCCTAAGTGAGAGATTTCTCAAAGGATTTCACTTTTTCTGCATGTACATTTTTTTCTATGTACACAAAAGTCAGGTTCTAGGCAAAGTCTGTAATTCTGTGCACAGCTACTTGTCTTGAACAGTCTCTTATTCTTAGGTGGTGCTGCCTTTTCTGTCTGTGGCAGCTGGTCCTGATCCTGAGCCCTTCAGTTTATTCTGAAAGTGTGAGGCAAACCCAAGCTATTACTCATTACTAACATATTTTGCAGAGTAACACAAATGGATTTATAAGCTCCAAGGTAAGCTTAAAAAGGGAGAATGAAGATGCTCTGGTCTAGTGAGTACTTACTCCAATCATACCTACAGCAGGCTGGTGTAATCTTGATAAGGAAGAGCTGATGTTAGGTACCACCAAGATTCACAAACTTGCCAGCATTTTGGAGGATGTAGACATTCCCTTTCTAAAGGGAAATTGCCTTTCTAAAGCAGTATCTCCAGATGGAGTTCTGCCTATGACCCATATACTCAAAACTGTGTTTTAATCTATCTTTGAGATTCTGTTAAGTGAAGGGAAAGGGCTACTTTTCTCTTTCCAGTTTGTATTCCCTTACAGTTCCTTTTAAATTTTTGGTTCAGAAGCTTTTTTGTGAAGAATTCTTCCTATTTACTAGTTCCTGGCCTTTTTAGATGAAATGTAGACACATCATCTTACTCTAGGTTTGGAAATTATTTTCTAGATGCTTGGAATACACGTAACAGTTATGTTTTCAAATTTCACCAGTATCCCATCTATTTTCTAAGGATGCAAGGGGTTGTAAATAGGTTGGCTAAACTACTGAAACCTGGAGGAATGTTGTTATTTCGAGACTATGGAAGATACGATACAGCTCAACTTCGTTTTAAAAAAGGTAATTCCTGAACACTGTTGTAGTTCACTGTTCATTTTAACGCTTTTTGGAAATAAAGTGACATGTCAGTGTTCACTCCTGTTCTAATTTCTTAGGTCATTGCTTGTCAGAAAATTTTTATGTACGAGGAGATGGAACCAGAGTGTATTTCTTTACCAAAGGTATGAATAGTTTTTATAGAAAGGGTTGAGTGTATCTCAAGGTGATTTGGGTTATAAAAGCTTATCTTAGAACAGAAAGTTAAAGGTGGTTTTATTGGCTTTTTTATTTTTTTTACTTCTTTGCTTTTACAAAGCCCAAAGCCAACTGTTCTAAGAAAATAATTCCCCGTATGTGTACACTTGTTGCACCTGGGGTCCCGCAAGATTGCTTGCAGACATCTCTGGAAATGTCTCTTTGTCTAAGCATCTTGTGTCAAATGGAATGCTCATTCTGTTATTTGAAGATGTACTTGATTTCTTTCTTAAAATTAACTTAAACAGGCTTGGAATGACAGTTGGTAGCGGTGCTCTGATATTTTGTTTTGCTGTGTTGGTGAGCCTGAGCTTTGAGGCTGCTCTTTCTGCAGAAGCTAAACTTAAAACCCTGGTTATGGAATCTGTCACTCTTTGCCCATCCGCTCACCTGGTTTTGTTGGCCGTCAGCTTAGACTGGTATATTGTAGCCCAGCTACTGGAAACTGTGAAAGTGAGCATCACAACACTTTTTTTTTTTTTTACCTCTGCAACCCAGACTGTAAGGAATAGAGATGGATCAGCATTTATCCCTCCCTGAGAAAATTTGAAAGTTAGAAGGAGGATCTGGGACATGTATGGGAAATAACTTGAATTCAAAGTGATGTCTTGGTTTTTAAATGTCTTGTTTCGTGCTTACTCATTACAAAGAAGCTTAAAGTTTTCCCGTGGTGACTGACAAGAAGGAGATCATGTTGTTGTAAATGTGTGAATTGTCATTTGATGGGCAAAATAGTTTTATCTCCTTAATATGCGAACAGTGACCAAACGGCATGCGTTTGTTTTCCTGAACTCTGGCATACTGAACCCTCTGAAGCAAAGGGAGCTATGAATGCCGTGAGTAATAACCAATGTGGTTTGGGCTTCAACATAACATTTTTCACTGTAATATAAATCGAGAGCTCTGAAAATTAATGTCAAATGAAAGACCTGTTACAGGCAGCTTCCTTGATCTTTCAAATCACAAAACAGATTTAGTTCCACCTTTGGTTAAAATGCGGGTTGTTAATTACGACGTTCTACAACTGTCTTTTTTTTTTTTTAATTACAATAATTCTTCATATGAGAAAATAGATGAGGTATGGAAGATGTTCAACTTGGCTGGCTTAACTGAAGTACAGCATTTAGTTGATCGGCGATTACAAGTAAACAGGAAGAAAAAAGTGAAAATGCAGCGAGTTTGGATACAAAGCAAATTCCAAAAACCATTGCTGCTATCTCTGAATAATCCTGAAGAAACCACCGAAAGGCACCCTTATAAATAATTTTACCATCAACAGTACGTATGTTTCCGATAAATCTTGTGTTAGCCATGTTTTTTGTAAATGTATATGTGTCAAAATTATCTGGGAGGGGGGGAAACTGCATTTGTGACTTCCGCTTTATATGCAACAAAGGCAGACGCATTAATCTAGTCATAACTGTGACCAGGCACTATTTTACTTCCTTGAATATGAATAGTCAATAAGTATAAGCATGTATCTTGATCCTGTTGAAATTCAAAATATGTAAAAAGTTTCGGACTGAAGCATAATTATTTCAGAGATTTAGAGAAACAGAGTATCTGTTCTCACTATCACTACAAGCTGTGCTGTGTTTGCTTTGAATCATGTCTCTCCTAACCACTGTGTGTCTTGCAACTGTATTTCCTCTTTGTGAGGGAAATTTCTTGATGCATAAATAATGAAGACAAAATCTCTTTCTGATTTGCATGGACGTTATAATTTCATACTAACTGCATGTGATATGCATAGTTACAGATTAGTCCGTGATTGGCGTCCTCCACCGTGACTGACCTACTCCTTTGAAGTCTCCGCTTTCTGTCTACATGCTCATCAGAAACATGCCAAACCCAAGCTTCTCTAACAGCTTAGTGACACATACATTGTATTTAAAAAGCCATAGGTTGCAAACTGAACATCATGTAGGAAAGAATTACCAGAAGTGCTGAAACAAAATAGTTAACATTTGCCTGGATAAATACAAGCATTTTTTAAATGATATACGATAAAGATAACACTAGAGGGAGGAGCAAAAAGAGTAGTCCAGAGTACATTTTATTAATATTGTTATGGGGTAATGTAATCACACTAAAATGGTGACGTGCATGGCAGCTGACATATTTTTGTTGTTTACAGAGAGAGATTGCTTTCTTAGGGCTTTGAATCTTTGAAAAAAGACCTTTTTTTTTTTTTTTTGACCCTGTAGGGAGACAGTAAAAAGACAGGATTACACTAGTACATCAGGTGCTTTTAAGAAGCAAACCAGATGCAAACAGTGTTTTCAGATGCAAACCATGAGGCTGAGGCTGTTGAGCTAGTATGTAAAGATGCCACTTCTGCTACTTAAATGTAACTTCACAATCACCTAGTCACAGGGCCGAGATGACAAGAAACAGGTGAATGAAAAATCCCTTCAACAAGGATATAGAATGCATGCAGTCTGTAACACGCGTACAGTTTTGAGTGCCATTAATATAGTGACACTCTTGGTTTTGTCTAAAGGGTAAGCATGTCACAGCTGACAACCCTTTTTTTGGTGCAAGTTGTTAGCTGCTAAGCCAAGTAGAACTTACTGTCTTCTAGAAGAAAAAAATAAAACAAAACCAACCTAAATTTAAATGCTAAGAATCTTAATCCCCTTTGACAAGGTGAGGGATCTGCTTAATTTCCATAAACCCAGATGTGTTTCAAGAGTGAGGTGCAAAAAGGGGTCTTTGAAGACAAGATCTGATCCTACATTTCTAGTGTATTCTAAACTCCTGTTATGAGTAAGATACTGTTTCATGAATTAAGTGGCTTAGTAAGCTTTGGTTAACAATGACATTATTGTAACCTGCAATAAAACTCTTGTGGTATAAATCAAAGGTTAAAACATAGCTGTGTTTCTTCAAGCCCCAAGTCTTAAGAGACAGTAGCATCTACATGGTAAATGTAAATAAATACCTGCTTACATTTTTATTACGTTGCTACCCTGTGCTTTTAATCACAACTTCTGAGTACGCATAGCTCTTAGTTTAGTACAAAGCATCTTCAGTTGTAGATTTTTCCAGGAGAGTGATGGTGATGATAAGCTTTTGAGCATCGTGCAGTCTTATTCATGTGTGTGATGTAGATTTTCCATGTGTAGAGGCTAATGAAATGTTTACTTTGGTTTTCGTGCTGATATGTTGATTCTGGCAAGGTTTTAATATGCTGTTAAGTTTAACAAAATGTGACATCACAAGTAACTAAACCCTGAATTCTTATACGGCCTTGAGCAAAATTGGCTGCTTCTCTTCCACACCTTGCAGCATAAGTATTGGCTGCCTTTTATTCTAAAAATGCATGTTTTAGAAGTAATAAAATCAACTGCTAGTTGTAAGCATAGAATACCTACTGTAAAGTGAACAGTAAATAGTCTGAATAGTTGTAAGATTGATGGAAGGGGAAATGGACATTGTTCCTGATAAGAGCTTTTGAATCTGTGTAGGACTTACTGTATTTTGGCTTCGTAATGTTTCAGTTTTCAAAAACCTTAATCAAGGACATGTTTTTAAAATACTTTCAGATTATCTGTATTAATTGGGAAAAACTAGTATTATGACATTGCAAACAGTGTGCCCAGTACAGAAAAAGTTTCACTCTTAAGTTTCACTTTTGAAATCTGAAGTTACTTCTTTAATCAGATATGTACCTGAAATCTCTAATTATATAATTTTATAGAATTACAGATTATATAAATACTAAACATTATAATCGTTAGTTGTTTGGGGTTTTTTTTGGTTCAGCATGACTTCCTATGCTGGTAAAGCAAACTTGTGAATGTATACAAATGGCAATTAAAGAAGGACAGTCTTGTTGGAATTGAGCATTGGCTTGCTTCATCAATAGTGTGGTATTGCTTACATTGATCTATAGGGATACAGGAGAATGATACTTGCTGGTTTAGACCTTCCATGCTTAGTTTTTAAGCAAGTACAAGACAGCTATAAAGTAAAGAAAGTGTCCAACCTTTTTTTCCTACACTAATTCTGAGGTATCTAGTCAATAACAATTAAATTTAAAATGTTGTGGGTTTTCTTTTTTTCTTTTTTCCAGCAAATCCAAGGCAGGTGCTTGTGCTGTATCTCTAAATCCACTGGATCTGAAGAGGACAACCAAAACGCAGGGCAGACAGGGATACAGAACTCTAGTAACACTAGGGAAAAGTTTCTTGTATTGGAAACTGCTGTTCCTGTTTTGCTTGTGACTTGGCTATTCTGCAGATTCTGCTGTTTAATAATGACTGCAAATGTGTAACAAACCATTGTGAAATTTGTATTAAACACCAGTGGAAATCAGTTAACATAAGTTTTGCTACTTAATTTTTATTCGTGGTACGATCTTTATTCACTGCTGCAGTGTGCTCTTTCATCTGTTGATGTATGCCTCACTTCCCCTTTTTCCTGTGCACAGTAGACAGTTAAGCAGTTTCCACAGAAGCTAAGTAAACAAAAATTTGCTGTAAAGTTTGCTGGATGGCTTATTTCTAGGACTGAATCAAAAGAGTTTTATTTCCTTCTGTACAGAACAGATTGCTTTTACTTTCTGTGTGAATACAATGAATCTATAGATGCTAAATGAATATAGTAGTATGGGCTGTATTTTTAAATTATTTTAAGCCAAACATACCTTAGGGTATGCAGTATGTAATGGCAGTGATAACAGTAGACAGTTCATACACAGACCATCTTCATAATGGGTGGTTGAAAAACCTGTGAAATAACCCATGTATACACATTATGAAAACATAAACATCACTATTGTTAATAATGCAGGTGTATTGGGTTTGTAGGGCAAGGTTCTGGTATTGGGGGAGTACCGGGGTGGCTTCTGTGAAAAGCTGCTAGAAGCCTCCCTATGTCTGATAGAGCCAGAGCCAGCAGGCTCCAAGACGGACCCACCGCTGGCCAAGGCCAAGCCAGTTGCAGTCATAACGCCTCTGGTGTAACATGTTTAAGGAGCAGAAAAAAACCCAGAAGAGGGATTTTGCAGACAGACAACAAGCAAGGTGTGAGAGAGAGAACTCTGCAGACACCAAGATCAGTGGAGAAGGAGGGAGGGGAGGTGCTCCAGATTCCAGAGCAGAGATTCCCCTGCAGTCCATGATGAAGACCATGGTGAGGCAGGCCCCTGCAGCTGTGGAGGGTCATGGTGGGGCAGAGACTCACCTGCAGCCCAGGGAGGACCCCACGCCGGAGCAGGTGGATGCGACCCTGTGGGAAGCCCAGGCTGGAGCAGGTTTGCTGAAGGCCTTGTGACCCTATGGGGGACCCACACTGGAGCAGGCTCCTCCTGAAAGACTGCACCCCATGGAAAGGACCCATGCCAGAGCAGTTTGTGAAGAACTGCAGCCTGTGGGAAGGACTCATGTTGGAAAAGTTAACGGAGGACTGTCTCCCGTGGGAGGGGCCCCATGCTGGAGCAGGGGAAGAATGTGAGGAGTCCTCCTCTGAGGAGGAAAGAGGTGACAGGGACAATGTGTGATGGACTGACCACAACCCCCATTCCCCATCCCCCTGCACTGCTGGTGGAGAGGAGGTAGAGAAGAGGGAGGGAATCTGAGCCTGGGAAGAAGGGAGAGGTGGGGGGAAGGGGTTTTAAGACTTGGGTTTAGTTCTGGTTTTACTCTTGATTTGATTGATGATAAATTCAATCAATTTTTTCCCCAAGCTGCGTCTGTTGTGCCCATGACGGTAATTGCTGAATGATCTCTCCCTGTTCTTATCTCAAGCCGTGAGCCTTTCATTGTATTTTCTCTTCCCTGTCCAACTGAGAAGGGGAGTGATAGAGCAGCTTGGTGGGCACCCAGCCTCCAGCCAGGGTCAACCCACCACAACAGGTTACTTTGCCTTGTAGTATCTGTAAACTTCTGTCCATGTTTGGAACAAAGATTGGACATGAGGGATTTTTCACATCACACATATGCCAGCTGTCCTCCTCTTGAGAATCAGCCAGAAATTGGACAAGTCTAAGTCTGCCCAAAGCAATCAGTGTTAGTATCTAGTCAGCAAGAGCTACATGGGTTGCCATGGGCATCTTAGCAAGTTCTTTGTGTACCTGCTGGTCCAGGCACATAGGTCATGCATGGACTGGGCTTTCAGCTGAGAAGCAAACGTCTCTGTCCAGTGACCATCCTGCAGCCTTTGCTAGTACCAAGCAACTAAAAGAAGAACTTACCTGATTTGAAAGCAAGAGGCATAGACGCAGGGGGGAGGAAGATGGAGATGCAGCTCAAAGGCTGA